TTTAACGTACAACCAAAGACTCCTATATGACAGTCTAAACAAGTACCACATCCAGGGGACAATTCCCAAAGTAGTGTCTTACCCTTCCTCCCCTTTTTTTTTTTCCCGGGTCAAGCGGGATGGATCTACACTAGGGGACATTTAAAAAGAACATTTTTTTAATAAAGGAATTGTCAGAAACTGCCTCCTGTGGGTTTTTTTTTTCTTTGGTCAGTGAGTAGGGGTGCGTCATACCCATACTCATTCATATGAGGAGGCGGGATCTGGGGGATTCCAGATTCCAATAAGCCAAAGCTTTGAGGGGGACCCCACACCATTTACTTTATTTTTTTTTTTGCCGTGGGGGTTCCCCTCAAAATCCTTACCAGACCTGAATGCCCTGGTATGGATTGGGCGGGACCGCATGCCGCTTTTCTTAAATTTTTATTTTTTTTTACCACGCTGACAGCTGATGACTCATTGGTTGTTAAGGACGCCGCGACCACCCGCACCTTAACCATGATGGTTACTGGTTGTTAAGGACACCGGCAGCCACTCGCTCCTGAACAACTAGTATGTACCAAATGCCTCGACCAGTAGTTAATTAACGCATACATTCAGTTATTTTTTTCCTTCTATGAATTGACTTTAACATCTTTTTATGTGGTATTTACAGAATATTTTTGCTATTTGTGGTAAATACCAGCAATAATGAATTGACATTTTCAGTACTGCATGCAAAATGTTGTCCCCCCAGTTACTGTGTGATTCACAAACCTTATAAAGTTCCTTTACCTTTTCTGACTGAGCCAAACCCTCCATTTGTGTCTTGACACCATCCCACTCCCAGGCACTGTAGCTTACAGTAGGAGGGTTTCAGCAATAGATCAGTGCTGTCAACCTGGAAAGCTGTATGCAGGACTGAGTGTGGCCAGGTTCAGATTGACTCAGCAGTGAAATTGCTGATAGCCGCACCCTCTACAAGATATTTTCATCCTCCTTTAGTGCAGACAAGCACAGCCTACAGAAGAGTGGAAACTCTGCTCTCAATTCAGGAGCAGTGCAGTATCATTGCCACCCCATCACAGGACACTTTCTTAAAGCAGACCTACATTGCATCTGAGTACCACAAATCAAAAATGCCATTTAATTCATTTTTAATATTCAAGGCAAACTCCTCCATCCATGTCTCCTTGCTTTATTATGCTGAGAAATCACTTTGGAAAACCGCCCCCTAGCCTTTCTGGCCGTGGCAGTCTTGAGTAAGGGTAGATGATTCATGTAACATTTACTCCCTGGAATCCATCTGCCCTTAGCTCAGTTATGCAGGAAGGAGAGTGTGCTTAGCTGAGAAAACTCCTCCTCCCCTCCCAAAGAATTCTGGGATGTATGACATCATTTGCCTAGGCCTGAAAACAAGGAAGTAACTGAAGAAAATAAAGTTTAAAGCAAGTAAATATGATATACTTTTCTATCTAGTTAGTGATGCTAGCAGTATATGGATTAAAAATGGTCAATGTTCATTGTAGTCATGCTATATAAGACTGCATTGACACTTGACCTTAGTGTTTTGGTGCTTGTACATTTTTTTTTTTTTTTTTTTTAAGCTTTTGTACAAGTATTTTGCACTTTTTGTGGATGTCTGATGTTTGAACGTTATTTTTATTTTATGTTTTTTAAGTTGCTGAGTGGAATAAATGTGCATGTGTGCGCACACCTCATTGCATTCTATTGGGGCCAAATCGGCTTCTGTACTTTTTCTTCAAGCAACACTATGCACAGGTGTGAACAAGCACAATTGAAAAATATGGGATTTTGGATGCTTTGAGCTACAAAATGCTCAGTTGTGAATGGGTCCTGAGAAATGGGGTACGGGTTACATCCACACATGGACATTTCTGGTAGAATAACTTCTCTTTTGTTTTTTGTAATAAACACACAGACACCCAAATTAAATTTTGTTTAGCAGTAAAAAGAAAGGGAGCAGTCTATCAGCAATGGAGGAAAAAACAGCAAAAAGTAAAACCACTATATTGATGAAATATGAAATTTATTAATGCTGAATTATGATGAAGAACATTTTGAAAGGTGGATTCGAATAGTACTTCTCCGCTCATTTATATATTATCTAGTGTTTCATAACAACACAGGCTTAGGCCATGGAATGTTGGAATTCCTTGAATGGCAACATAAATTATGTACATTTGTTGGCAGTTACTTCTAAACGCAGGCGCCTATAAACATACACGCACATTCTGTGTGATTACGGGTTGTTTTTCTTTAGAGGTTAAAATATTCAAAATCATTTTTTTTTATTTTTCAAACTGCAATGCTTCTATTAATTTCAGTATCTTTGACCCTATCCGGCTGTGCACATTGCACTAGTTGGGAAACTTTGACCCATGCGGCTTACTGTGCACCTTTATTTGAACTTAGCTAGATTTTTCTGTTTATTTTGTTGCCTGGCAGCTGTTGTTTGACCTTCTTATATCTATAAAAGAGTTACTTTCTGTTCTATAAAATGGATAGCATCGGAAGAGGGATGTATTGGAATTGCTATGAAAGCAACATTGAAGCAGCATAAAGAACATATATAAACACCTATTGGTTCATCATGATTTCATTTATAGGCCATTGAATTTTTCATTGCAAGGAGTCATTCTTGTCTTGTATTGAAAATTATAATGTATAACTGCTAGTATTAATGTCCAGGCACATTTGGCATCTCTTGGGTAGTTTTTGCTGTGTGTTTCAGCCTTTTGTATGTGTTTTTACTCTCTGATGGTTGGAAGTTTTTTTTTTTTTCTTTTTTTTCTTATAACTCTTCATTTCTGTTTGGAGAAAGTAGTACATATGTTATTGTGAGGATAGTGTTATCATGTGTGTTCAGGACTAGATAATGCTTCTGTGGTCACACAGTATCTATAAGGAGGCCTGCATGTAGCATAATACCAAGACGGGAGTGTGTGTGTGTGTGTGTGTGGGGGGGGGGGGCTGGGAATAGTTGTTGTTTGATGGAAGCAATTAATATCACATATTTTTACTTAAGCTGCATTCATTCTTGAGCGTTTTGTAGCTTGAAGCTCTAAAAAAAAGCTCAAACTGAAAAAATCAGTTGTTCTCTATGGTGCCTGTTCACACCTGATCGCAGGAACAGGCACCATAGAGAACAATTGATTTTTTAAGTTTGAGCATTTTTGGAACTTCGAGCTTCAAGCTACAAAACTCTTAAGTGTTAACTCAACCTTACTGAACAAGGACAAGCAGTTCATTCATTTTTATAAATTTGGCTGCTGCCCAGTAACATGTTACACCCTAAATACAGGTGGAACATGTAACATGTTACAAATGGTGAACTTATCCTTTAACTAACTCTCCATCACTCAGCTTTGCTAGACAGCTAAAGAGGCATAATGCAATTTTAATCAATTAAAAAACAAAGGTCTTAGTTGGATAAGTTCACTAACCAGTGTGGAAGTCACTCATCGTCATCATCCTCATCATTATCATCATCATCCGATGCATTTGAAAATGGGGTTGAATTTGTAAACGTTTGGCATATGTAGATCTGACCACCCTGAGAGCAAAGTTTTCAACCCTCCTTAAATGTATATCAATAAACGTCAGGGTCTGACGCTTAAAAAAAAAAAAAAAAAAAAAATGTAATTTTCTATAAGGTACAGTCATAACATAATTTGTATTCTGGGCTTTTTGTGAACTAGCACTGCTGCATGCTTTTTGGCAGCTTCTACAGACTGACTGCTCCTGTCTCTGTTAGCAGAGAGAAAAAAAAGAGTATCCTTCCTTCAGTTGTCTATTTTCAGCCCAACAGCTGTAAAATATAATTTTCAGACAGCCTAGCGCTTTCCACCTTTTGGCTTGTGGTATAGTGTGTATGTAGTATATTAATCAAACCATACAAACAACAAAAAAACAGAAGAGCACAAACACCTAATGCATTTTCTACAGCACTTTATTAAAAAAGAAAGATATAAATTATACTCGCAAACCAAAGTGGATCAGTAGGGATATCAAAACTGCAGAAACCAGAAATGCACCATCTAGTCTCAGGGGATCAAATGGCTGACAGTACCAGCTGACATGTTTCGGGGGATCGACCCCCTTCATCAGAGCAAAGAATTTGTGAGTACAGTTTGTATCTTTCTTTTTAATAAAGTGTTGTAGATAATGCACTAGGTGTTGGCGCCCTTCTGTTTTTGTTTTTTGTACAGTTCAAGATTTCCCAATCTGAGGATAGCCGCACCACCATAACCATCCAGCCCAAGTTGTACAGTAGCTGATGTATTTGTACCTCTCAAGGAAGATGAAAGAAAGCGCGCACAAACCTTGCGCATATCCTCAATAAATAGTGACTAATTTTATTAATAAGGAAATATACTCACAAAGTGATGGTATAACAGGCATAAGTAACCATAATCCAAACAGGGTTACAGGTAAATCGAAAGGGGGGGGGGGGGGTGAAGGCTAACGCGTTTCGAAGGGTGCTCCCTTCTTCATCAGAGCTGGGTTGAGCAGATAGAGACTTCAGTTTTATTAAGCTTCCCCAGCTTCATGATAGAGCTGCACAACCTCTGATCACCAGCGGATGAACACACAACACGCTGCTTGTCACTAAGGCCTGTTTGATCTGAGTCTTTGAGCGCAGGAGATAATGGATCTTTGTACCTCTCAAGGCCAGCTTTTCTGTTATTTCTTTGCGCTGAGGTGTCAAGTTTTCACATTAATAATACCATAGATGTTAATGAACAATATAAATGTATGTCCCTGAAAATAGAGTACTTTTTTATGGCCATTGAACATATGTAGGAGATCTTCTGTATGGGTCCTTTTTTTTTCTTTTTTGTGTACATGTTATAGTTTAGGATTAGGTAGGTTGTGTTGTTTTGAGCCTGTATGTAAAAGGTTCAACATACTTGACTGTGCCTAGCCAAATGTGTAATTTGTTTTTTGTGATTCTTTCCTAATCTTGCCACTGACAGTAATAATTATGTTTCTTTTTGTAGGAGAAGCTGTTGTCACGATCACTTCAAAGAGGTGAAGATCTTCAGTTTGACCAGGTAATATTTGTAGAGTTGGTAAAGCAATTAAAAAAAAAAACAACTGGGTTGGTCCATTTGCCATTGGCTATCATTATCACGGCTTGGGCTATGTTTTTGTGTTTTGGATGCTGTTCCACTGTTGTTGCACCACCAGATCAGGACGAAAACTTCTTATCTGGAAGCTGCACTGTACTATCAAAAGGGAGAAAGAGATCAGCATCTAAAGTATAGACTAAGTTGAGAGACAGACTTTGTTTCACATAAGAGCATGTTCTTATGTTTGCTCATTTGATTGTAAGCAGCTCTCTAAAATCTTTTACTGAAAAAATTACTTGCCTCTATAGCAACTGCCCGTAACATTTACTAAAGATCCCATGCAGTGCTTCTCTCATCAGATCCATCTTCCTTATGTCTGTTCTATGCATCCGCATTAAGTTACTTGGCTCTTGGGATTCAACAGCTTCCCGTTATGAGCTGATTATGTCATAGCTACACATAGGCAGAACATAGGCATGAAGAATGGAGAATTTATGTGTGCCTTGGTTTTTGTTTGTCCACTATATTGTGCGTTTTTCCAGTGGTTAGGTAACATCAACAGGTCATCGTATAGGTCAGATAAGTAGAGGACAGGGTGTAAATTAATTTTATTTTTAATTTAATGTGAAAGGTCCCATTAACCAAAGTAGAAGCTTACCTTTGCATTATTTTCTTTTGTCATGGTTTTGGATTGAGTGGAAAGGGAATAGAATCTCTGTTAACTTTTTATTGTTCTCTGGGTCCTCTTTTGAGAGACTTCTTTTTCTTCTGTCTATTTGATTCCAATAAAAATGATGCTTTCTAGTTCAGTGGTAAATAATTTAGAACATATGTCAAGCGTTTGTTTTGTCAGGCACCAATTTTCTGTCCGGATAACCCATCTGACCACAATGAGAAGGATCTCTTCTTTTGGGGTACAGAGAATATTTAAAATCTTTATTATTCCATTAAATGTATGTATAGGAAGGCTTGCATGTAGTGTAATTGCAAGATGGAACGGGGAAGGGGGGAGAATGGTGTGTTTATGACCAATGACAAGCAGTTCATGTGCAGCAGCCTCCTCAGCCCCCCTAATACTTATCTGAGCCCCATCTTGATCCAAGAAAAAAAAAAGCCTTTAATGTCACTTTAAACCTGTTGCTATTGGAGTATCCACTCTACACGGTAGGGATAAATATGTTGTTGCCCCTCAGTATTCCAGATAGTGCTTCCCAGATCTGTAAAAAAAAGGATTTATTATAAAATAAAGGAGACAGTTTCCATGAGAGCATCCCAAATCGGTGCTCACACTTGTTGGAATATAGATTGCAATGTTAGATCCCTGGGATGCCCATCTGAGGAGAGTTGTGGTGAGTCCTCCTGACACCTGGTAGATACCTTGATCTAGACCCCAGGGATAGCTGACCTATGGGTCACAAGTATGAGCTCAGATTTGGGATCCTTAAATTAAAATAGACTACTGGTTACATGTCTCCTCCTGGGGAGGAGTACATTAGTGGAAAACCATTGAATAAGAAAATTAAATTTTTATAGCCTGTGAAGCATTGTCCTGACTTGGAAATTGAGTCGTAACCTCCTTTATTACCAAAAACCTTAAGGAATTGGATGTATATACATAAAGAGGAAAACTGTATGTTTTTATTACATAGATAACAACTATTATTCTATAGTAATAATATGTCTAAACAATGTTGCAGTATGTGTACACTGCTGTAAACCTTGGAAAGCTAATAAAAACAGATTAAAGATAGGGAACAGTTTTTTTTTTTTTTTGTTTTTTTTTTATTTGCTTCATTCTACATCTCCTTTATTTTTGCCTCAAAGACACCACAGCAAGTAAGAGTAAATATATCTAAAGTTGAGGGGAAATCCCCTGTTAGACAGTTGTCACCCAAACAAGTGTCCTTATTGGAAGTTTTCCCCTCTATTCCTGTTTCAGTAGCAACTGTAAAATTTTGGATTTCCCATCAATATCTGCTCTTAAGAATTGGATTTATAGATGCTGGGTGTCATTCAACCTGAAAGATTGGCGCAGGATCGCAGGGCAGTGAGTTTGTGCAGGAAAGTCCGAGAGAGGATGTGAGTTTTGCAGAAAAAGTGATTGGCTTTTTTTTAAATTATAACTCAAATTGGGTGTTGAAGTTTGTGAAATTGTCTGAAAATTGCTATGTGTATTTCCAGCTTTGATATTTTTTTTTTTTCTACGGCTCCAACATTCATAATCATGCAGAAGATTTTTTAGGATACACTCCTTAGCAAGTTCTACTTGTGAGTAGTTAGAGAAGGCCTACACACTGTCAGGGAAATTCAAAAAATCCCTGCTGACACTTTTCTAGTTATATGGACCTTTAAAAGGGCCTGTTTCATTTAGGTAGATCTTAATATCACCACTTTTAAACAGTGGTGCTATTTATGCACCAAATTAAAAAAAATAATTACCACCAGTACATAAATAATAAAACTGGACATAATTAATACCAGCTTTAAGTCAGTGTACAGATACAGGCAGAGTGCCTGTCCCTGTACGTAGTGTAGCAGAGGAGCATATTTGCCCCCACTACCCCTTCCCTGTCACTAGTTGATAAGGATGCTGTCAGCTTCACAGCTGACCGTTTCCTAGCTGCAGTGGGTAGAGCATGATGGGGAAGCTAAGACACTGTTTTCTCATCAAGTCCACTTTCTCCCTGTAGTTGACTACAAGCAGTGGGCAGATTCTGTAGCCAATAGCAGGCTGCCTATTGGCTAGGGATCCACCCACTGCCTGCTGTCAATCACAAGCTGAGTGGACCTGATGGGGAACTAGTGTCTGCAAATCCCATCAGGCTCCGCCAGCCAGATACCAAACTCCCCACCACTGCGCTGTCTGAAAACTGACGGTGTCGGAGTGTCCATATGGATATCCTGGCCTCAAGGTGCCTCTACACACGGTGCATGAATCTAGCACTGACATTTGTTGTATAGAGGCATGTCATAATTCTTAAAGCGGAGCTCCACCCAAAAGGGGAAGTTCCGCTTTAAGGACTGCTCCCCATTAAGGATTAAGCACCTTTGGGGGACAGAGAGGGAGGGAGGATACCTAGGCGATTGGAAAGGAAAAGGGAGCGGGTACCTGTCAAATTCAGGTACCCGCTCCCTTTTCCTTTCCAATCGCCTAGGTATCCTCCCTCCCTCTCTGTAGTCTTTTGGGACACGTGACAGGTCCCTGAAGACTACAGGACCATTCACGAAGCGCAGCACTACTCGCTCATGCCCAGTGCGTACCCGGCTGTGAAGCCGCAAGCTATCACAGCCGGGTGCGCACACTGAAGATGCCGGCCTCCTGGAATACAGGACGGCCGGTGAAACGGGCTGTGGGGGACACGGGGACCGAGGGACAGGTAAGTGGCTGTTTTTTAAAAGTCAGCAGCTACAGTTTTTGTAGCTGCTGACTTTTATTTTTTGATAGGTTGAGTGGAACTCCGCTTTAAGTGTTTTAAGAATTTCCCTGTATTGGTCCCCCCACCTCCCCCCAATTCACAGAAGGGCGGCAACATTCAGAAGGTTTTTTCAGGGGTATGATTTAGATTGGCTAGTTTGCATAATATCCACCCTCCAAGCTTCAGAGTACTAAACAGCTATGCTTTAATAGGTGGGGAAAAGTTTTTGCTGAGACCAGTCATTACATAACAAGCTTTCTGATTGTGTATTTACAAACAAAAAGATACTTTAGTGCTTACGTGTGGAAATGCAGACACGTGTCCTGCGACCATTAGCAGAGTCTGCAGGTGCCAATAATTGTAAATTCAGGAATTTCATTGCTCTTGCTTCTTGAACAAAGAGCCGTGCATTTTGTTAATTAATTTACCCATCCAGAACTGCTGGATGTGTTTGGTATGGCTTTGTGAGCAGAGAGGGTGCCAAGCTGAGCAAGCAATAATAGGGAGGATAGTTGTCAGACAGGCCACTCACACTGTTTCCTCTAAACATTTTGTATTTTGAGTGCTAATAAAACATTGGTGGAATTTGCTGCCAGCATCTTCAGGTAATAAAGAGATTAATCAGGCTTCTTCTCAGGCTGTGTAGCACTGAAAAAAGTGAATTGCTTACAGGTAGAAAGAGCCTGTACCCTTTAACATTGATTTTCATGCTTCTCTGACTGCCTGATCATCATTCTAAATCAATGGCTTTAGTACTTGTTAAAGCAAAACTTCACTCAAAAAATGAAGTACTGCTGGTTCGCTCCCACCCCCCGGTTCTGAGTTACGGGATGGAGGGGGTTGGGGGTTGAGGGACGGGTGGAGAAAACAAGTGTGCCAATTTTTTGGCATGCAGTTCTCACCTAGGCAAAAATGAAAAGCCTTGCCTTTGCTTTCCCCTCCCACTGCATATACAGGCATGACCATTGAAGTCTGTGGGCCAAAAACATGCAACACAGCTCCAGTAAAACCTCATGTACCCTTTGAAGCTTTGAGCGTAGTGTGGAGATTTTTGCAGCCTATATTGAAAATAATTCATATTACTCAGTGTTGTCACACGTGCTTGCAAAAATGCTCTGGTGTGATCGGGAGTACGGTAAGCTTTTTGGAGAGCTAGCCTCTGGCCCTCCGAAGATTTTCTTGGCCAAAGCAAAGTTGGATCATGCCTGCGCATAGCTGAACACCCTCTAAATTCCGTGGCAGCCTTAAAGTGTTACTAAACCCACAACAGTAAAATCAGTCTGTATATGCAGTGAAGCATGCTTATTATACTCACTGGGGAACCTAAGGGGTTAATCCTCTGCATTGTGTAATTAAGGCTGTTTGATTCTTTCTTCTCTGCCCCTCCTGTTGTTGAAATGATCACCTGATACAGACTGAATCAGTAGTTACATGCACATGCTCAGTTTGGTGCGTATTGCTAGAGAGGTTTTTTTTTCTTTCTTGGGAGAGTGCATGTGATCAGCACAGGGCCAATCAGCACTGTCCAGACAGAGGTCAGGGGTTTCACGTCCTCCTAGAGCAGAA